CCCCAAAACCCCAAAACCCCAAAACCCCTTTTTAACACCTCAAGATTGAAAAGAAATTACAAAGCTTTAGGTTTAAGATACTTTCCGTCATAGCCAACCCATCTTCGGAAAGACCCCTTCATAAATTCAGGGTAGGTATTAGGATTAGATGCTTTTCTAAAGTCTTCCATTATTTCTTCATTCTTTTGCCTCAGAGCCCTAAAGAAAAAGGTCATTAAGTATCAATAATTCTTCAACTTAAGTTTGAGCCTAATATACCCATATAGCAAATTTTAGGTAAAAATAAACTTGGAGTTAAAGTGACTTGCCTTGTATTCTGTTTAATTATTCTTTCAACATTTGCCTTTCTGGCATCGGTTGATTTTGAGTCGAATCGCTTCTTGCCTTGATCCTCTTGTATAAACTCCTGGGCATAACTATAAACGTCAAGCCTGTTCTGCTTCTCTTGGAGTAAGGAGGACTCTCTATCTACGAATCATTTTTCCAGTTCTCTCCTCTTATCTTTCACTAGGCAGTTTTCTATCCCTTCTCCGATTCTCTAGAGCTTGTAGAGGAGCCTACCTGAAGATCCTTAGTGGCTGGTTTATGCTTCAAATTAGGATATTCAAGTGCCAATTCTCCGAATATTCTGTTGTTTATAGATCTAGTAGAGTTTTATAAATAATGTACCTTAATTCGTTCTCTTTCTTACGTTTCTCTTTTCGCATCTTGATCTCCCTGATGAGCTCAGATTCTTTAGTACGGAGCTGCTCCTTGGTGATATCAGCATGACGGTCATAGGTGGAGTGGAAATGCCCCCTAATATTGTCTAAAGACATCTGGTCAATGTATTGATTCATCCCAGGATCAACTGTGTTAGTGCTCATGTCTAGGTCAGGATTTCTCAATTTCTTCTTGTCTGGAACACCTTTTAAGTAATGTTTCATCTAGAGATTATTTGAAATTATTACATTAGAGATTGATAAATTATCAAATGCTTTATTCAATGTGAATTTGAGCTCCTTCTCCCTTTTGGCAAGTCCTTCATATGATCCATAGACGTTGTTGTCAGAACAGAACTATAACAGGTCATGGAGACTATACTTTTTTAAAGTGGTTAGCCCAAGTTTGTCTATCTTTAAACACCATTCTACATTTCTTGCCTAACTTTCAGACATGGGCTTACATTCAAGAGTTTCAAAAGGGAGCGATATTTTATTCATTATTAAAATTATTATCAATATCAAGTTATCAAAAGGGGTTTTGGGGTTTTGGGGTTTTGGGG